ATTCTACACATTGTATTCATTAATACCATGGGAATCTTTGGCCAGAAGACATTAATTAGCTATTGATTACTGAGTCTGACCCAAAAAATTTGGTAGCTGCATGAAAATGTTGAGTCTGCATTGCTTTTGACTGCCAGAGCCAATTGTTCTTATTCCTACACCTTCCTAAAACCTCTCTAATGTACTTTTCATGCAACAATGGAATAAATCTAGCTTGTGCAATCGAAATTGTATTCCATATATACCCAGCTGTATACCCACTTTTTCCCACTGAACCACTGTTACTCTTGGTTTGCATATCTTTTTATCCTTTCTGATTGTCAAGTTTTGGTTCTAAAATGCCAAGTAAAATCTTTACAAAAGAGAGAATCATTTGAGATGTTGCCCTCTGCATATCTAGAAGACATTGTCCTTCAGGTTTCTTTTCCCAAAATTATTTTTTATTCCTGAGGGCTATGCTTCTGTCTTATTCTCAAGCTGTGGATTCATGGAAACTATTTCTCCAAATAGAGATTTGCATGTAAGAAAGTAAATGGAAATTAATAACACTTCAGTGCCCTAGTTTTATTTTCAGTGTGTATATCAGCTTCTGTTAGCTCCTGCTATTTACCAAACTGATTTACGTCTGAGGGGCAATTTTAATTCAGTTGGTTTCCCCCAAAGGATTAAGCCTCAAGGATGCGGCATAGTGTATGAAGCCAATGAATTGGAATAATTTTAAATCTTTCTTAAGGAACTGAGTCCTAGAATTTTATATTTTACTTCTGTTGAAAGAATAAAAAGCCTGTCTTCAATTCTGCTATTTTCAATAAAATCACATCTTTTTAAAAAATTATTCCTGTTCTAACAGAAGAAGTGAATCCTAAATGCTTTACTTCATTCACAAGTACATTGAAATATTGATTATGTCTACATGAGACCTGAATCCTGGGTGGCCAGGCACTTGCTGTTGATGGAGTTTTTTTCATTTCACCTGAATGTTTGGCTGGTATAGGCTCAGTTATTTTCAGTGCATAGCACAGAAAATCAGGCTGTGAGTACAGTCATGGTTCATTCAGACCCTGCACACCAAGGAGCTCTAGGTTTTTGATGCTTTGCTTTTTGCTTCCTTAAGCACTGTGTCCCTTTTGCTTATATCACATAATGAGGGGCTGCCCCATGCCACAGGAGTGGGCGTGCCTGAGCTGTTTGTGCATAATCTGTGCCACCTAGATGAGTATTGCTTGGCTATACTCTAAAGGTAGCAACATTTTCTTGCTGAAAAATCTAACTTCCCTGATTTGGGGGGCTTGTTTTAGGTTATCCTTCTCAACCAGTTGAACAGAGGCCACTTCAGCAGATGCCTCCTCAACTCATGCAGCATGTGGCACCCCCACCACAGCCACCACAGCAGCAGCCACAGCCACAACTGCCTCAGCAGCAGCAGCCACCACCTCCCAGTCAGCCACAGTCACAGCAGCAGCAGCAACAGCAGCAGCAGCAGCAGCAAATGATGATGATGCTCATGATGCAGCAGGATCCCAAATCAGTTAGGCTTCCAGTCTCTCAAAGTGTCCATCCTCCAAGAGGCCCCCTGAATCCTGACTCCCAGAGAATGCCCATGCAACAGAGTGGCAGTATGCCTGTCATGGTCAGTCTGCAAGGACCTACCTCCGTGCCACCATCACCTGATAAACAAAGAATGCCAATGCCTGTGACTACTCCTTTGGGAAGCAATTCAAGGAAAATGGTCTATCAGGAGAGCCCGCAGAATCCTTCCAGCTCACCACTGGCGGAGATGGCCTCACTCCCTGAAGCAAGTGGCAGTGAAGCACCATCTGTCTCAGGAGGCCCAAACAACATGCCGTCACATGTAGTACTTCCCCAAAATCAGTTAATGATGACAGGGCCAAAACCTGGACCATCACCCCTTTCAGCAACTCAAGGTGCAACCCCCCAGCAACCCCCTGTAAATTCCCTGCCCAGCTCTCACGGCCACCACTTTCCAAATGTGGCCGCACCAACCCAGACATCTAGGCCCAAAACACCAAACAGAGCCAGCCCCAGACCCTATTATCCTCAGACACCCAACAACCGCCCTCCCAGCACAGAACCTTCAGAAATCAGTCTGTCACCAGAAAGACTCAATGCCTCCATAGCAGGACTCTTCCCTCCACAGATTAATATTCCTTTACCTCCTAGGCCAAATTTAAACAGGGGCTTTGATCAACAAGGCCTAAATCCAACAACTTTGAAGGCCATTGGGCAAGCACCTTCAAATCTTACGATGAATCCTTCCAATTTTGCTGCCCCACAAACTCACAAGTTAGACTCTGTGGTAGTGACTTCTGGAAAGCAGTCTAATTCTGGAGCAACGAAACGGGCAAGTCCAAGCAACAGTCGCAGGTCTAGTCCTGGGTCCAGTAGGAAAACCACTCCAAGCCCTGGAAGGCAAAATTCTAAAGCCCCTAAACTTACTCTGGCCTCTCAAACAAATGCAGCCCTGTTGCAGAATGTGGAGTTGCCGAGAAATGTATTGGTCAGTCCCACTCCTCTGACCAATCCCCCTGTGCCGGGAAGCTTTCCTAACAACAGTGGGCTAAATCCTCAGAATCCTACTGTGTCTGTGGCTGCAGTTGGGGGTGTTGTTGAGGATAACAAGGAGAGCTTGATTGTGCCTCAGGACAGTGATTGCCAGAATTCCCAGGGTAGGAAGGAACAGGTAAACGTTGAGTTAAAAGCAGTCCCTGCCCAAGAAGTTAAAATGGTTGTCCCTGAAGATCAATCCAAAAAGGATGGGCAGCCTTTGGATCCTAACAAACTTCCCAGTGTTGAAGAGAACAAAAATTTGGTGTCTCCTGCTATGAGGGAAGCACCAACATCGTTAAGTCAACTTCTTGACAACTCTGGAGCTCCTAATGTGACGATTAAACCCACTGTGCTTACAGATCTGGAAGTAACACCTCCAGTAGTTTCTGGGGAGGACCTCAAAAAAGCATCTGTCATTCCCACATTGCAGGATCCGTCTTCTTCTAAAGAACCCTCTAATTCCTTAAATTTACCTCACAGTAATGAGCCGTGTTCAACCCTTGTGCATCCCGAATTGAGTGAGGTCAGTTCTAACGTTGCACCAAGCATCCCTCCAGTAATGTCAAGACCTGTTAACTCTTCCTCCATTTCCACTCCCTTGCCCCCAAATCAAATAACTGTATTTGTCACTTCCAATCCCATCACAACTTCAGCTAACACATCAGCAGCTTTGCCAACTCACTTGCAGTCTGCATTGATGTCAACAGTCGTCACAATGCCCAACGTGGGCAGCAAGGTTATGGTTTCTGAGGGACAGTCAGCTGCTCAGTCTAATGCCCAGCCTCAGTTCATTACACCTGTCTTTATCAATTCATCTTCAATAATTCAGGTTATGAAAGGATCACAGCCAAGCACAATTCCTGCAGCCCCACTGACAACCAACTCTGGCTTGATGCCTCCCTCTGTCGCAGTTGTTGGCCCTTTACACATACCTCAGAACATAAAATTTTCTGCTCCTGTACCGCCTAATACCCCCTCCAGTAGTTCTGCTCCAAACATACAGACAGGTCGACCTTTGGTCCTTAGCTCACGAGCCACCCCTGTTCAGCTTCCTTCCCCTCCTTGTACATCTTCTCCAGTTGTCCCTCTTCATCCCCCTGTCCAGCAAGTGAAAGAATTGAATCCAGATGAGGCTAGCCCTCAGGTGAACACCTCAGCAGATCAGAACACTCTTCCCTCTTCACAGTCAACCACAATGGTTTCTCCCCTTTTGACTAATAGTCCAGGGTCCTCTGTCAACCGGCGAAGCCCAGTCTCATCTAGTAAGGGCAAAGGAAAAGTGGACAAAATTGGCCAGATTTTGTTGACCAAGGCATGTAAGAAAGTCACAGGCTCTCTTGAGAAAGGGGAAGAACAATATGGTGCAGATGGAGAGACTGAAGGCCAAGGGCTAGACACCACAGCTCCGGGGCTCGTGGGAACAGAGCAGTTATCCACAGAGCTGGACAGTAAAACCCCAACGCCCCCAGCGCCCACTCTGCTAAAAATGACCTCTAGCCCTGTGGGCCCGGGCACTGCCTCAGCAGGACCCAGCTTACCTGGCGGTGCTCTCCCCACCAGTGTACGCTCAATAGTAACCACTCTGGTACCCTCCGAGCTCATCTCCGCCGTACCGACCACAAAAAGCAATCATGGTGGCATAGCATCTGAGCCACTTGCGGGTGGCCTAGTGGAGGAGAAGGTGGGATCCCATCCAGAACTTCTACCCAGCATAGGTATGTACTTGGGGCTTCATCATCTCTTTATGTCAGTTTTTTGATGACCTAATCCCACAAGAGAAAGCATGACTCCATTTCTACTTGGAGGAAAGAGAATGGGCTAAATGGCAATAGCAGTAGTTTTATTTATTGAAAGTATGTTGGAAAATACACTTTTAAATCTCATATTAAGTTTGCATTCATTAAAGAGAGCTGAGGGCCAGGCGTGGTGGCTCACGCCTGTAATCTCAGCATTTTGGGAGGCCAAGGCGGGAAGATCACTTGAGGTCAGAAGTTCAAGACCAGCCTGGCCAACATGGTGAAACTCCATCTCTACTAAAAATACAAAAATTAGCCAGGCATGGTGGCACATGCCTGTAATCCCAGCTACTTGGGAGGCTGAGGCAGGAGACTCGCTTAAACCTGGGAGCAGAGGTTGCAGTGAGCCAAGATCATACCACTGCACTCTAGCCTGGGCAACAGAGTGAAACTCTGTCTCAAATAAAGAGAGCTAAGGCTCTCAAAACAAAGAGCTCCTGAAATAATCATACCTTTCATTTATGTAAAAGTTTTCCATTTACAAGGAAGCATTTTTACATATGTTGTCTTGCATCATCTGTATACCAACCTTGTCAGATATTCTTAACTCCATTGTATGGGTAAGAAGATTGAAGCTCAAAGAAGTTCAGTGTTTGTTCAGAGTCTGTACTGTGAACCACCCATTTAACACTGTACCTTAAGTATGAACGGCAGCTTCTGCAAATTCCCTTTACCATGGTGAAGATTCGCTCATGACTTTCAGATCAGTCGGCCCTCATAGCCCCATTCTCATTGTACTCCATCTCAGGAACCATTGTTTTTTGTCTGGGCTACTCCAGAGGGAAGCTGGAAGAAAACCAGGTTTCATAATAATGGACACAGTAGAAACAAAGTGGTCAAGAGCCAGTAGGCTTGGGTTTGTTACAACACCAGCATTTAGCAGCTGTATGGGCTTGGGCAAGTTACTTGACCACTCCAAACTTCGGTTTCCTCCTTTGTCCTGTGGAACAATAATAGTTTTAAGAATTCAGTAAGGTAGTATATATAATATTCTTAGCATAGAACCTAGCATATAATTATTATTCAATAAATGGTAAAGATTGTTCTTTCCAGTTTCTTTTTGATGTAATTTCTTTGTTGTTTGGTGCATTCTATTTGTGTATATCTAGTTCAGGCTATTTCCTATGTACTGTTAAGATGGGCTAGTGATGGAAGCATAGGTATCCTTACAACTGCCCTTCCTTCCCTTCCCCGATATGTTCCTCCTGTGAGGCTTAAGTGAAGAAGCTGTTTTCCCAGAGTTGAGTCAGTCACTCACTGCTAGAGCTGGGAAAGACCTGTGTGATATCCTAGGCCAGCTAATTAAGTGCCTATCTTATTTATGCAGCTAAAATGCTTCGAGTGCCTGCCACTGAGTGGTAAGCACCCAGGAGGAGAGGCAGAAAGAACACAAACTTCAGGGTAAGATCAGAGTTCAAATTCTAGCCCGTAGGTTCCTTAACCTCTCCTAAGCCATGTACTTCACTTGTAAAATGGAGATTGTAATTTCTGCCTCCCAGAATTTAGGATTCTGGCAGAGTACTGAATGGGAGGATTTGTCAGGTGCCAACACACTGCCCTGAACAGAGCTCTGGAAAGGTTAATTCCCCTTCTCTCTGCCTCTTCACCTCAATATTAGAGATATAGGGGCAGGATAAAGGCCTTCAAGCAGATTGAAGCTCTTGCAGGAACAGTCGTCACAAAACTGGGTGCTCAGTGTATCTTGCTCTAGTTCTGTTGGTATAGATGAACCCTAAGAATTAAAAGGGAACCTGGTATAAATTAAGTATATCCTTCACTATTAAATATTTCCATTTCTCCTTTCAGGAGACTTTTTCCTCTGGTATCGAGAGAAAAATGATTAAGTAATTAAAAATATTTTTATCTGGATCATATACTAGAGAAACATGTAAGCCTTGAGGAGATGAACCAGCACTTGGAAAAAGTTCTCAGTTTTAGTTAAGAATACTCACTTTGCTTATAAGTGATTGCTTCTATTCTTTTTCAAGGGGCTTCTGTGCTTTTACTTTGAAAATGTGAGAAATTGGCCAGGTGCAGTGGCTCGCATCTATAATCTCAGCATGCTGAGAGGCCAAGGCAGGTGGATTGCTTGAGCCCAGGAGTTTGAGACCATCCCAGGCAACATGGTGAAACCCTGTCTCTCCAAAAAAATATATAAAAATTAGCCAGGCATGGTGGCATGCACCTGTGGTCCCAGCTACTCAGGAGGCTGACAGGGAGGATCGCTTGAGCCCAGGAGTCGGAGGTTGTGGTGAGCTGAGATCCTGCCATTGTATTCCAGCCTGGATGACCAGAGTGAGACTTTGTCTCAGAAGAAAAAAAAAATTTTTTTTGAGAAATCAACACTGAAGTTAAGAGTAGAAGTTAAGATATAGTTTCAAGCCTTATCAGATAAGCATTCAAAATAAATTCTTAAATGAATAATTGACTGCTTTACTAAGCAGGAGGGAAGTATACAAAATTCACAGTTTCCACAAGAGAGTAAAATGTATTGTTGCAGAGTTTATCTAGGATTTTAGACTGAGGGGTCAGGATATGACTGTGGCATATTCGTGCCATAATCTTTACCTTACCTTCCAGGATGGTTCCCTTCTAGAGTGCATTATGTATTTTATTTTATTCCGTAAGGGCCTAAATTCTCTGTGTCCTTTGAAGCCTGATTCTGATCTTTCTCCCTTTAATGTGCCTTCAGATTTTTCAGCCTAGAATTGTTCACCCTTGCTTTGGACTTTTGTAGCACTTTATACTTTGTGACTCCTACATATGACATCATAGATGCACTCAGTGCGTCACATGTATGTATCTTATCTTTAATACTAGACTGAGTTCCTGATGTGCAAGAGAATGTAGTTTGGTCTCTCAGGGTACCTGGCACAGTGCCTTGCCCCTAGTAAGTTCTTTGCAACTATTTGTTAGAAAAGTATATAACATATCAAATTGATTTATTTATTATGTATAAATCAAATACCTGCTTTATGCCCATCACTTTTGCTAAGTGTTGTAGAAAAGTACAAAATTATGTGACCATTTCCACTCTTACAGAGTATAGTCTTTAGGAAGTGAGACTAGATTTTTTAAATGCTGAGGAATGGTATAGTTGTACCTCTATGGTTTGGGTTGCCTACTAAGGTATGCTTTGGGGCATTTTCAAGTAGTGGTCAGAACCTGACCCCAAGAAGCAAAAAATATAAGTGCTATGTTCTTATAGCCATCTCCTTCCCTTATTACTATACATACAAAAAGGAAAAACATAATATCCCTAAATGGTAGTCATTGGTACTGGGTGTTACGGTAATTAATTTTTTTAGTAAGTTTTAAAATGTAATTTTGAGGCCAATTTTAAGTACTGCCCTTTAAGCGTGTACTGTTTCAGCAGTTACTTAGCCCTTGATTAGGTTAATGCTTTCTTTTTGTTTAGAAAAGAAAGTAAAAGGCCTGTAATTTTTTTTTCCTTGTCTTAGCCCCATCACAGAATTTAGTCTCAAAGGAAGCTTCATCTACAGTACTGCAGGCCTCTGTTACTAGACCAGGTAAGGTGTACTTTGGAAAATCTTCTTGGAGTGGGATGGGTTCCATGTGAAGAAACTACTGCTGTCCTCAACATCACATGTTCTTCTGCCAGGAAGTGGCTGGAACTATCTGATCTGTTTGCTTCAGAGCAGACTGTGGTCGAGTGGCAGAGCTTGTGCAGTTCTACTTGAGATTCTTTTCCCCTGACCAGCTTGCTCTCTTATGCATTCATAGTGTCAGTTAGAGAACTCAAGAAGGGCATCTCAGTGCCCATTGTCCGTTTGCCATCAGTCATGGGTTTCTATTGTGGAGTTTTCCCTGTTCTATGACGCTGGCACTCAAGATTGGCAGCTAAATAGCTGGCATATAGTGACTTACTGAGTTGGGTAGCATTAATGCACTTTGTGGTTTTATTATTATGACAGTAGTGGAGTCTTGTTCAGAGAATCCCTGCCACAGTGGTAGCCATTCCTCCAGGAGGCAGAGTCATTATAGTCATCTGTCGATGGCATTAAGTTTCTCCCCATGACTAATATGTTGTAAATAGCATGAGGGATGATATATCTGGAAGTAGGTACCTATGGTAATCTGACAGATAACTGCTGTGGGATCAGGGTCAACTCAGAATACATGAGGATGATGGCAGTAACAGCCCTGTTCTGCCTTTATAGACTGTGGAAGCAGATCAGTATCACAGATACGGTACAGTTTAGTCTCGCCTGGTTCTTTTATCACTGTAGATCATTGAGGGGTTAAAAAAAGTATATGAATGATTCCCACAGAGGTAAGAATCTCATTGAAACTATAATTCACATACTTGACAAAGTTAGTAAGAAAAAACAATAGTAGCCATGCATAATTTTGTGAATCTGAGCCAGTAAAACTAAGGTATAAGTTGTGATTATTTTAAAACCTGCTTCAGAATGCTACATCCTATGTAATGGATAGGACTTTCTACTGCACACTCTGAATAAAATCAGGCCTCTGAAAATAGTGTGTGAGCAAAAACCATTTCAGCCACCCAGATTCTTTCTTTGCCACCAATTGCCCACATGATACTTGACATTGTGTTGGGTATTTGAGAAGGGTAGGGATGGAGTACATTATTTAAAGGAGGGGTCATACAGCCAAATTCATTTTTGGTAAGAAAAGGAGAAACTATAAAGGGAGAGGGAATTCCATTTCCTGCCTCAGCCTTACTCTAGAAAATAGGATTTAGCATATCATTGTCCCCCTTCTCAGAGTAATTGGCTGAAGAATTCTGTTCCTTTTTGAAGTTTGACGTAAATGAATCTCCTTATCTTTAACATACTCTCAGAGCCACTGATTACCTTCATCAGACCACATTGATCTCCACTTGTGAATCAGCAATGATAGTGTTAAAATTCTCAAAAACATCAACCTTTTTCTGGTTTTAAAAGAGCAAACTAGGGCTGGGCAAGGTGGCTCACGCCTGTAATCCCAGCACTTTGGGAGGCCAAGACGAGCAGATCACCAGGTCAAGAGATTGAGGCCATCCTGGCCAACACGGTGAAACACCATCTCTACTAAAAATATAAAAAAAATTAGCTGAGCATGGTGGCATGCTCCTGTGGTCCCAGCTACTTGGGAGGCTGAGGCCAGAGAATCGCTTGAACCCAGGAGGCGGAGGTTGCAGTGAGCCGAGATTGCGCCACTGCACTCCAGCCTGGTGACAGAGCAAGACTTCGTCTCAAAAAAAAAAAAAAGAGCAAACTAGGCCAGGTGTGATGGCTCATGCCTGTAACCCCAGCTCTTTGGGAGGATTGATTGAGCCCAGGGGTTCAAAACCACCCTGGGCAACATAGTAAAACCCCATCTCTGCTTAAAAAAAAAAAAAAAATTTTTTTTTTTTAGTTGAAGTTTCACTCTTGTTGCCCAGGCTGGAGTGCAATGGTGAAATTTCATTTCACCGCAACCTCCACTTCCTGGGTTCAAGCGATTCTTCTACCTCAGCCTCCCAAGTAGCTGGGATTACAGGCATGTGCCACCACACCCAGCTAATTTTGTATTTTTTAGTAGAGATGGTGTTTCTCCATGTTGGTCAGGCTGACCTCGAACTCCTGACCTCAGGTGATCTGCCCGCCTCAACCTCCCAAAGTGCTGGGATTACAGGCATGAGCCACTACACCTAGCTTACAGAAAATGTTTAAAAATTAGAAAAAATAAAAATAAAGTAAAAAATTAGTTGGGCAAGGCATGCATGCCTGTAGTCTCAGCTACTTGGGAGGCTGAGGTGGTAGGATCACCTGACCCCAAGGAGGTTGAGGCTGCATTGAGCTGTGATCGCACTGCGCTCCAGCCTGGGAGACACAGTGAGACTGTCTCAAGAAAAAATACAAATAGGCTGAGCATGGTCTCAGAGACTCCAGAGGCTGAGGCAGGAGAATCGCTTGAACCCGGGAGGTGGAGGTTGCAGTGAGCCAAGATCACACCACTGCACTCCAGCCTGGGGGACAGAGTAAGACTCTGTCTCAAAAAAATAAAAATATAGGATGAGTACCTCTTTTGACTTGAGTCATTTTCATTTTTGAGCACACATTACCTGAGTTTATATGTTCCAGCCAAGCCAGCAAAGTAGCAGAGACTCAGTGAATTGGTGTCTATTTCCTGTGGATGCGTTTTCAGGCTTTGTGGGTACAAATACAAGAGGCTAACGAGCAGTGAGAAGCAAAGCTTCCCTTCTGCTAGCACCTTGCATTAAAGGCAGAGTAGCCCAAGCTCCTTACATGAAAGGCTGTATCAACATGATCTTCATAGCAATAATAATAGCTAATAACATTGAGTTATGACTAAGTGCCAGGTATCATACTAAAATTTTTATGTGCATTATTTCATCTTAACTTTGAAGTGGTTATTGTGGTTATTCTCATTTTTTTAGATAAGGCATTGAGCATAGAGATGTCAGATAATTTATCCAAGGTCACATGGCTAATAAGCAATGAAGTCAAAAATTTGACCCAGGCACTCTGACTTCATTGCCTTTAAGATTACCATGTAAATAGTAGGGTAGGTTAGAAATGTACCCTGAGTAATGAGGTGCTAAATTCCCTCAATGGGGGAACAGGTATAAGGCTGTGGGAGGCCGAAGGCAGGATAGATCACTGCTATCTGGTACTGCCTAAAGGCACATAATAGAGAAAGCAGATGTTTTTCTGCTGGTGCTGAGAAAGAAGTACTAGTAAACCCAGAGGGTGCTCATTGATGCAAAATCCTGCTAGACAAATTACTGAGATTTTCCTTGCTTGGAGGGCATTGCTGGGAGGTTGAGAAAGGAGTAGAATGGGGTCTAAAGGCAGTATCTGAAGGCAAAGCACTATGCCGTCTAAAACTCAGCGAGGAAGTCCTTTGGAGGAGACTGCATCCTTAATGGATATTCAAGACATACTTGAAGATTGCTTTTTTTTTTTAAATAAGGGCCAAGAAGGTGGAGATTTTTTGAAATGAAAACAGTTTCTTCCACATGAGAGGAAGAGCCTTATTTACTAACCTAGTTGTAACTGAATGAAATATGAACAAGGAAAGGTGAACTTAGTTCTCTTAATCCAAACAGGTTATTTCACAGTGTGGAGTAGAAATAAAAATAGACCAAGTGTCTTGTGTCCCAAACAAACCAAGTTGTATCTGTGCCAGCTTTGTCTCCATACCATGTAGGGTGAGAATCCTGCTGGGCCCAGGGACACTTTAGCCTAAATAGGGCATTGAGAATTCTTGTAGACTCCTAGCTTCTCTCTGTCGCAGCCCCCACATTTCATTTCTGTTCTTTACATTTTTTACAGAGCTGGAGGTAAATGCTGCTATAGTCTCCGGACAAAGGTAAGATGATCATTTCTGCAGACGTAGCATGAACACAGCATAAGCCTCTTTGAAAGGTATCAACTTTCTCAGTCTTTAAACCTCTCCTCACCTTGTCCTTTTCCTTCACTCTTGCCCCAGTCTGTTTTTTATACTGCTAACCTAGAGAGCTGTCATGAGTCCTAATCCCTCAGAGGTAACATTTCTGTTAATAAAACTTGGAGGCTAAGTTTCTGCCTTTTATGGTTGTTTTCAAAACTAAATGAGATAACATGTTCAACACTCAGCACAGTGAGGAAATAGTAAATGTTCAATATATGGGAGCTGTTGTTACCATTGTAACATTAATAATAGTCCTTGCAACTCTCTTCTAAAGAACAGTTGTTTGATCCTCAAGGCGAAAGGAGGAGAAACCCAGGCAGGATCTAACCCAAAACCTATGCTTTTTTCTGTTACATTGTGCTGCTCCACATAACCCTACAAAATGAAATACATCTGTGGCTTCAATTTCATTAGCTCTATGGAGAGGAGTATTACCATTTTCCAAAAGTCATGCCTTTTTTGGAGACAGAGTCTTGCTCTGTCACCCAGGCTGGAGTGCAGTGACACAGTCTCGGCTCACTGCAACTTCCATCTCTGGGGTTCATGCAATTCTTCTGCCTCAGCTTCCTGAGTAGCTAGAATTACAGGCATGTGCTACTATGCTGAGCTAATTTGTAGTAGAGACAGGGTTTCACCACGTTGGCCAGGCTGGTCTTGAACTCCGAACCTCAAGTGATCCACCCAT